TTTCAAGTCATCTCTGATGACCAGATTTCCAGATGGACCCCAGCTGAAGTCAGTTCATTTATTTCCTTTGATTGTTATATGCCGTGAGACCTACAGTTCCGGTGGTGTTGAACTTTTGGACATTTGTGCGCAGTGCTCATGGGGAGGAAGTGGGCAGGAGACGGTCCAGACAGATGGCCACCCACTGAGCTGCTGCTACTTGGCCTTCTGGGGCGCCTTCCGGTGCACCCTGTTCTGCGGCTGTTCTTGTTCCTGACGCTTCAGGTCTTTTCCTAAATGTCTGTGTTTTTGCAGGTCAGAAGTTACCTTCTTCTCATGAGCAGACTCCAAAGGGATTTCTAAATTCCACTTTTTCTTTCTTTTCAGTTCTTTACATATTGTCACACAGAGAACAGTGTCCACTAAAAACATAATTCCCACTACCACATAGAAAAGGAAATGAAACCAGACAGGAGTTGGTGATTGGAGGCCTGAAACAGAAAAAGACAAAGGGAAGCGACAATATTTAGAGACTGAGTTATGTTTGGAAGGGAAGGTTGGCTGAGACCTGATGTACCTGTGTCCAAGGAGGCATTGGTCGTTTCAGGGAGCAGGAAGGAACTGGCGGTAGCTCTCACTGGCTATGTGGCGCATAGACAGGGACAGGCTCCTTGGAAGAGCTTAATTGCCAAGCGCCGTCAGTGGACTTACTCTGTAGTGTCAGAGACAACTGCTATCTCTGTGCCATTTAATACTTGAAATCAATTTGAGTTGAGGAGTGACTTTTTTCCCCACAAAGAGCCTTTATTCTGGAGCTGACAATCCCTCTGCCTCAGTTAGATAGAGATACTCAGGGAGGTGGTGATTTGCAGTTTACAAAATCACTGTCTTCTAAATCCACCTGTGAGCTCCTTGAAGCAAGGACTCTACTGGAACGTCTTTATATCCCCAGACCTGTGACAATAGATAGGAGGAAGTGGATAAAGGGCTGGTGAGATTGTTGGTGAGGGGGAGGGAGGCAGGGAAGTGGAGGGGGGGTGTCAGTGGGCGGCGAAAAGAAAATAAGGAAGGAGAAGAAAAGGATAGAGGAGGAAATGAAGGAAAGAAATGGAGGAAGGAAAGGCAAGGAAAAAGAAAATGAAGGGAAAGGAAATTTAATAAAGTTTGTGAGAAGACTGATATTCTGATCAAGGATGGAAAGGCCTGCTGGGGGCTTTTCCTGAAAAGACTTTCCCCTCCTGTCTGGGCCGTGAAACCCTTGAACAAAGCTCAGTCCCGTGGGCGAGAAGGGAGCCCCTCGAACAAA